GTCTGCAGGCCTATGCTCTATCTACTGAGCCAAACCGGTTTTGGCAGGAAGTAATTTTTAAAGGACAGGAAGGCGACCTAACCTTTCTAGAGGGAAATGATCCTATCAAATAGAACGGGGAAATAATAAACTTGGGTTTATCTAGGACAAGTCAGCTTATGAAAATCAAGCACAAGAATTAGACTTAGTAGAGCCAAAGACAGAAAGCTATCAGACATTAAGGAAAGGAATCAAAACAGAAGCGAACTTTTAAGCAAATATCCTATTCTGAAAGCCAAGGAGAATGAGTTTTGTGTTAAGCATGGCTAGTATGGTTAAATCCTTCCCCACCATTAAAAAGCATGTTAAGCTGAAGCCAGTTTGGCTCAGTGGATAGAGCGTCGGCCTGCAGACTGAAGGGTCCCAGGTTGGATTCCTGTACCTTGGTTGCGGGCACATCCCCTGTGGGGGGTGTGCAGGAGGCAGCTGATCGATGTTTCTAACTATCCTTCTCTCTTCCTCTCTGTAAAAAAATCAATAAAATATATTTTTAAAAAATAAAAAGCATGTCAAAGCCATGTCAAAGGGTATGTTCTATTAGGAGTGAGTCATATGCAAGCCAAGGTCTTCTATCAGCATGTTCTGTTTGTCCAGTCTTGTTAAATGTCCCCATTTGTATTGTACAAAGGAAGAAAGGCAAACATCTGAAATTGCCACCGATATATACAGTAAGTTTGTATGTCAGTTCCGGTTTCCGGTTCTGCCTGATTTACCTTGGCGCGCTTTTCCCAGAAGGCAAATATTTGGTGCTTTGAAACAAATGCAGAATGAATTCCAGGGTGGGGCCCGTACAACCCAACCTGCACGGTGCAGATTGGTTTATCCATTACAGATTTCAGATATGAATTACTTCCCTACAGGGCAGGAGTGGAGGCAGGGAATGTAGTCAAAAGAATTAAGCTAGCTATCAGGAGTGTAGTCATGTGACCCTGGATGAGTAACCAATTTTTGCGTTTCTTAGATTCCTCATCTATAAAATTGGGGCTACCCCTAACTGGTTTGGCTCAGTGGATAGAGCGTTGGCCTGCGGACTGAAAGGTCCCAGGTTCGATTCCGGTCAAAGGCATGTACCTTGGTTGTGGGCACATCCCCAATAGGAGCTGTGCAGGAGGCAGCTGATCCAATGTTTCTCTCCAATTGATGTTTCTAATTCTCTATCCCTCGCCTTTCTTCTCTGAAAAAAAAAATCAATAAAATATATTTAGAAAAATAAAATAAAATTGGGGCTAAATGTTAACATTTCATTGTGTTGCTTGAAGAAGCAAATAAGATCACATATTAAAGATTGCCCATTTATGCTGTTTAAACAATTAAACCGCTAACAGACCTGGCTCTTGGGCAACAGGGATGGTTGATAATGCAACGAGAGTCTCAGCTGATCAATGACTTCATCTCAAGGGAGACATTTTTAGATGGAACCTACCCTGGACACTTCTCTTCTTACTAAATGTCAGCCGTGGCAGGTAACAACCTCCCAGGCTGTGTTTGGCAGCTCACAAGCGCCTCCTGGAGGAGCTACTAAGAACTGAGAGGAAGAAAATAGGTTCTTGATGTACAAGCACAGACAACCTGTTAACAGACCACACAACCAGACAAAGCAAACCTCCTGAATCCTCAGCATTTTAGTTGACACATTCAGTATAAAATTAGAAACAGGAACATAAATGCCATCATGCAGCCTATTCAAGTGTGGATGTCGAGCATACAGGAAGCGTGAGAGTTCCCTGCAAGTATGAAAGTACATCCCTATTAAAAGATGGAAAAAAAAATTCATACCTATTAAAATATGCATCGGATAGGAAATGGTATGGAATGCATTAAAGGATGAATAATAACATCAAGCCAGAATGTTAAATGGATCTAAACCTCATATTTCCCTTATTTCTCACTGACTCCCTAGAGCAGTGTTTCCCAAAGTGTGGTACACGTCCCCCCAAGGATACAGGAAGAGTTTGGTGGGGGTAGGCGTTGCACCGGAGTTTGGTGGGGATATACACTGCACCATGCTTAGTTGTGCCTAATTCTGCGTTCTCATGAGGGGTACTCAGCGTTACGAAAATTATAGAAGGTACACATATGTCAAAGGTTTGGGAAACACTGCCCTAGAGCAATGCTGTCCAATTGCAATACGATGCTAGCTACAAATTTAAAATTTCTACAAGTGACGATGAGACTAATTTTAATAATACATCTTAATACAATACATCCAAAGTATTACTGTTTCAACTTGTAATCAATGTAAGATTCTTAACGAGGCATTTGACATTCTTTATTTTATATGAAATCTTTGAAATCTGTTATGTATTTTACACTTACAGTACATATTAATTCAGACTAGACACATTTAAAGATAGCACAGCTCAAGAAGGCAGGGATTAAAAATTAACATCAGATCCATACCATTCATTTGTACATATTTGTACATTATTTTGCATATACTTATTTTAAAGAAATGAAAAGCTTAAAAAAATTTTAAAATTTTGTTATTGATTTAAAAGAGGAAGGGAGAGGTAGAGATAGAAATATCAATGAATAGAATCATTAATTGACTGCCTCCTGCATGCCCCCTCCTGGAGATCAAACCCACCAGGGCATGTGTCCTTGACCAGAGTTGAACCCTGGACCCTTCAATCCGCAGGCCAAAGACACTCTAACCACTGAGCAAAATCATCTAAGGCTTAAAATTGTGTTTTGGAATTTAACATATTTTGGCCAAGCTCTTTTGGAACTTTTGTGGAAGGAAAAAGAAGGATAGTGGTTATCTCAAGATCCACCAACTTTTTTTGTTTTGTTGTAATCAGAGGTTGAGATTATTGTTGGGATATTTGAGAATCTCATTGCCATTTCAGATGACCTTAATAAAAGGATAAGATACAGTTATCATTATGCTCCTAGTCATTAAGTGCAAGTTATGCATTTATTGTGTATTTTTCATAATTACCTCACACACATTTACTATTCTTGACAGTGAAACCAAGATTGATATTGAATGGGTTGGCCCTGGCCGAAACCGGTTTGGCTCAGTGGATAGAGCGTTAGCTTGTGGCCTGAAAGGTCCCAGGTTCGAATCCGGTCAAGGGCATGTACCTTGGTTGCGGGCACATCCCCAGCAGGGGGTGTGCAGGAGGCAGATGATTGATGATTCTCTCTCATTGATGTTTCTAACTCTCTATCCCTCTCCCTTCCTCTCTGTAAAAAAAAAAAAAAAAAAAAAAAAAAAAACAACAACAATAAAATATATTTAAAAAAGAGAAGTGTAAGTTTTAAAAAAAAGTTTGTCGGTCTTTAGGACAGTGACTGCAGGTGTCAGCGGAACCTCCACTGCTGAGAGGAAAAACAAATCTTGCCCACCTTTTGGGGAGGCAGTCCAGGGTCCCCTAAATTCAAAATTTAAATTTTAAGAAAAGAGAAAAATGATTTCAAAGGACCAAGGAAATGGCTAGGCTCTACAGATTTGCAGTGCTCGGACCACCGGCCACTGTCCACCCCACCCACTTGCCCTCTGGTCGCCCTAATATCCATTTGCAATAAAACCCAGCCTCCCATTCATCGCATGTCCCTAGACCAAGATGCAAATCTGGAGCATCCACAGTGAGAGAGCGGGAGTTCGCGATCACTTCCGGGTTATCCGGCAGGGGGGCGGGGCCAAGCCGAGGACAGCGAAGGCTGTGGCGCCGCGGGAGGAGTTAGGGGCGGGGCTGCGCCTGCGCGTTGCCTGCGAGCCGGGGAGCTGGCTTCGCGCATGTTCACACGGGGCTGTCGCTAACTCCACTTCCGGTGTTTGCTCTGGCCGCTTGGAGCTGGGACTGGGTTCCGAGGTAAGGGCCGAGGGTACCCTCCACCCATCACCGCCGGCGGGAGGAGGGAGGGACTTTGGTGAATTTGGCAAATGCATGACACGCCTGCAGGCTTTGAGAATCTGGGAAGGCAGAGCTGCTTCTATCAGGACTCCATGAAATGCATGCGCGTGGGGTTAAAAATCTAGTGCTATTTAAAACCCATGCTCCTAACTCTAGAATTTGATTTTTTTTAAAAAATGTATTTTATTGATTTTTTTTTACAGAGAGGAAGGGAGAGGGATAGAGTTAGAAACATGGATGAGAGAGAGTCATCGATCAGCTGCCTCTTGCACACCCTCTACTGGGGATGTGCCCTCAACCAAGGTACATGCCCTTGCCCTACTGGGGATGTGCCCTCAACCAAGGTACATGCCCTTGCCCGGAATCGAACCCTGGTCCCTTCAGCCCCCAAGCCCACGGAGAGCCACATTTTTAAAAAATATATATATATTTTATTGAGTTTTTACAGAGAGGAAGAGAGAGGGATAAAGAGTTAGAAACACCGATGAGAGAGAATCATCGATCAGCTGCCTCTTGCACACCCCCTACTGGGGATATGTCTGCAACCAAGGTACATGCCCTTGACCGGAATGGAACCTGGGACCCTTCAGTCCGCAGGCTGATGCTCTATCCACTGAGCCAAACCGGTTTCGGCAGAAAGCCACATTTTTTAAACTTAAACTATGTAGGTAGGTACATTGTGATTAACTTAATTAGGATTCTCCTAAGCTGGCCTTTGCTAAAAACTCAAGGGGCCACAGAGCCACATGTGGCTGGTAAGCTGCAGTTTGCTGACCACTGCTCTAACAACTGAGCTACCTGACCATGCTGCTGTTTCTTCCTTTAGATTTGAATTTTTTTTTTTTTTAAATCAAGGGGCAGTATCTTATCTATCTTGGTGTTTTCTTGAAACATAGTCTTTGTTTTTTTTTTTGCATGGATCATTTTCTTTGGTTGTTACTGACAAATTTATATTTTTAAAAGGAATTTCTAGATACCCTTAATTTTGCTGATCAAGTGGTATGTACTAGAGACTAAGAAACGTCTGTTTTTCTGTAGAACTCAGAAGGCTGTGGATTAAGATGTGCAGACAGTAACTGATCTTCTCGGTTTGAAATAGGGATGAGTGATTTCAGCGAAGACTTGCTGAGGCCCACGAAGGAGGATGACCCAGCGGAAAGGAGTGTTCGCTCTTGTTCAGGAATGCGTCTCCCTTGGCTCCAGAAGCACGTGGAAAGTGTGCGTAAGTAAAACACCGTACAGCCGTTTTACCTTCCGTGCAAGTGATGATAAGATTCCATACGAATGCAACATGAATAACCAAGCTTGATTCACTTTGCAAGATAAGAATGAACAGATGACAATTTCTTATGCTACAGCCAAAAAGAAATTTAAAAAAAGATGATTTTTTGTTTTAGAATTCTTAAAAAAAATTTTTTTTTATTGATGTTTTACAGAGAGGAAGGGAGAAGGATAGAGAGTTAGAAACATGGATGAGAGAGAAACGTCGATCCAGCTGCCTCCTGCACACCCCCTACTGGGGATGTGCCCGCAAGCAAGGCACATGCCCTTGACCGGAATTGAAGCTGGGACCCTTCAGTCCACAGGCCAATGCTCTATCCACTGAGCTAAACCAGTTAGGGCTAGAATTCTTAAAAAAAAAATTAAAAAAAAATTATTGATTTTTTACAGAGAGGAAGGGAGAGGGATAGAGAGCTAGAAACATCGATGAGAGAGAAACATCGATCAGCTGCCTCTTGCACACACCCTACTGGGGATGTGCCCTCAACCAAGGTACATGCCCTTGACTGGAATCGAACCTGGGACCTTTCAGTCCTCTCTGTAAAAACTCAATAAAATATATTTAAAAAAAAATGAAAGGGTGATTGACAGATTTGAAGGGTTTGTTGACATCTCTACATTAGTCTTTTTTCCCCATTTGCTAAACTAGTTAAATAGTGTGGGATAGTTTGTTGCAAATGAAGCTAGCTTTAATATTTGGGATGGGCTGGATTAAGGTAATACCCACTATTGTACTTGTTAATACTCCCATTTGTCAGAAGTAAGTTTTTGAACTCTTGAGTCAGGGTCACTGTGTAAAAGACTCCTCTCTTTGCCCAACTGGTGTGGCTCAGTGGTTGAGCAACAACCAGTGAACTTGGCGGTCATGGTTTGATCCCTGGTGAGGGCACATGCCAGGTTGTGGGCTTGATCCCCTGTAAGGGGTGTGCAGAGGGCAGCCGATCGATGGTTCTCTCTCATTTTTGATGCTTCTATCTTCCTCCCTCTCCCTTCCTCTCTCCAATCAATAAAAACATATATATGTATGTATATATATATATATATTTTTTTTTTTTTTTCCTGATTTTTTACAGAGAGGAAGGGAGAGAGTGAGAGAGAAACATCAATGAGAGAGAATCATCGACCAGCTGCCTCCTGCACACCCACCACTGGGGATGTTCTCGCAACCAAGATACATGCCCTTGACCGGAATCAAACCTGGGACCTTTCAGTTTGCAGGTCGATGCTCTATCCATTGAGCCAAACCTGTTTCGACAATAAAAACATATTAAAAAAAATAAATAAAAGACTCCTCTCTTTACTCCTTATAGTGACCCGAGGGAAAAAGGAGAAGGATTTTGCTCAGACCACAAGTGCCTGTTTAAGTTTCATCCAAGAGGCCCTGCTAAAGCACCAGTGGCAGCGAGCAGCCGAGTACATGCACAGCTACCTCCAGACCCTGGAAGACTCGGACAGCCAAAAGCGGCAGGCCGCGCCCGAGGTGAGCCAGGGCGAGTGCGGGAGAGGTTTCCGATCCCTGGGAGTTCCAGCTCCTTTTGGTGGACACGGTTCTGATCTTCACCACCTTTTCTTCATCTCAGAAGAGGATTGTTTTTGTGTATGTAACTGCTAAGGCCAAACTCTGGAGTCCTCTTTTTTTTTTTTTTTCATGTCCCATCTCTAAACCATTGGAAAGGCCTGCTGGCTGTACGGTCCGATTCCCTGGGGTCTGACCAGGCTGTCGCTGGACGCAGGAGACGGCCATTTGCCCTTTTCTTTGGAGAGCCAAATTTTTAAAACTTCTAATACCGCTTCTTCAAAATAGACTCGCCCAGGCCGTGGTATTTGTGGAAGAGCCACACTCCAGGGGCCAAAGAGCCGCATGTGGCTCGCGAGCCGCAGTTTGCCAACCACGGGTCTAGGGCTTTCGTTGGACCTGCAGATTTCCTGGGCTCCACTCCAGGTCTGAATCTGAGTCTGAGTCCCTGCAGCGTTTATTTAACAGGCAGTTCTCGTGTGCAACCAGGTCCAAGTGCCCTTGTGACAGGCAATCTCCACAGTTTCTTTAAGCCCCAGAGTGCTCCAGTCTGGCATTCTGCCAATGAGGTCTTGGCCCCGCTAAGCTGGGAAGACTCGATTTACAGTTATACCAAACCACCAGTCTGTATGTTTATAGAAATAACGGATTTAAAATTCATGTACATTTACTTTCAGGTCCGTGTTACTGAATTGCTTTAAAACGGGGTCAGAGAAACAGAGTTCATGGCCATGGAAAACGCAGAGCTCCACGTTCTGTCAGCAATGTTGTAGGGCTGTGGGGAGGAAATACCTTCTATTAAAATGTGTCTGTTGCTGATAAACATTCTTTTTTAAAAAATATATATATTTTATTGATTTTTTACAGAGAGGAAGAGAGAGAGAGTTAGAAACATCGATGAGAGAGAAACATCGATCAGCTGCCTCCTGCACACCCCCTACTGGGGATGTGCCCGCAACCAAGGTCCATGCCCTTGACCAGAATCAAACCTGGGACCTTCCAGCCGCAGGCCGACACTCTATCCACTGAGCCAAACCGGTTTTGGCTGATAAACATTCTTAAATTGGAGCCCTAAATGGAGGTTACATATAGTCAGTAGTTAGCAAGCTTGCTGGGATCTCAGGAAGTATCTAGTCCATTGCTCTCATTTTGTTTTTTTCTATGTTAATAAATTTTTTTAAAAAATATATATTTTATTGATTTTTTACAGAGAGGAAGGGAGAGATATAGAGGGCTAGAAATGTCGATGAGAGAGAAACATCGACCAGTGCCTCCTGCACAACCCCTACTGGGGATGTGCCCGCAACCAAGGTCCATGTCCCTGACCAAAATCGAACCTGTGACCTTTCAGCCGCAGGCCGACGCTCTATCCACTGAGCCACACCGGCTTCGGCAAAATTTTTATCCTCAGTCTATATCCTTACTGCCTGCCTTCTTTAGACTACTGATTTAAAAATGGCACTGTTATAATTATCTGGTATTTTAATTGGTGGGAAGGACTTAATCACATGTGATACAATATTAGTTTCACTGGGTGAAGGCTAGTGAAATGTCGATGGAAGTGGTAGCTAGGGAAAGAAATGACAGGTTGCTTTTGAATGAAATAATCAGAAAAAAATTAGCTTTCTTGGGCAGACATGGGGTAAGGCAAAGGTTTTACATTGTTAATAGCAATTTCTGTTTTGACAGATGATTTGGAAACTCGGAAGTGAAATTCTCTATTATCACCCCAAAAGCAGCGTGGAGACTTTCAATGTCTTTGCGGACAGGATGAAGAATATCGGCGTCATGAATTACTTAACGGTAAGAACGTGGGCTTTGAGAATTTACCTTTGAAGTGTTTTTGTTTTTTTTTAAATATATTTTATTGATTTTTTTACAGAGAGGAAGAGAGAGGGATAGAGAGCTAGAAACATCGATGAGAGAGAATCAGCGATCAGCTGCCTCCTGCACACTCCCTACCGGGGATGTGCCTGCAACCAAGGTCCATGCCCCTGACGGGAATCGAACCTGGGACCCTTCAGTCTGCAGGCCGACGCTCTATCCACTGAGCCAAACCCGTTTCGGCCAAACTGGGAGTTTGAATATGTGCAAGCGTTTCCCTCCCAGCTTTCTGGAGATATAATTGGCATATCACACCGGGTAGGTTTAGTTGTAAGACAGCACTGCACTCGGACCAGCCTCACACCGTGTAGGTTTAATGCGTACAGTGATGTTTTGAGCCACGTATGCGTCATGGAAGAGGTAATCACAATGAGGTGTGATTGTCACGTGATTACGTTGTGTTGTTGTTCTGATGAGAACATTAAAGCTCTACCCTTCCGGGAACTTTCGAGTATACAATTATTAACAGTTATTAACTCTGGTTACCGTACTGTATATTAGAATTCCCGGAACTTATCTCATAAGTGAAAAGGGGTGCCCTTTGACCAACATCTTCCCGCCTCCTCCACCCTCGGCCTTTGGCAGCCACCAGGCTCCTGTCTGTCTCCCGGGCACAGGTTCTTTCCCTGGATCACGTGGTCCTCTCTCTGTAAGCCGACATCCTTTTTTTTATTTTTATTAATTATCACGTTATTTTTATTGATGTTTTTACAGAGAAGAAGCGGGAGGGATAGAGAGTTAGAAACGTCGACCAGCTGCCTCCTGCACACTCCCTGCCGGGGATGTGCCCGCAACCAAGGCACATGCCCTTGACCGGAATTGAACCTGGGGCCCTTGAGTTCACAGGCCGAGGCTCTATCCACTGAGCCACACCAGTTAGGGCTGTAAGCTGACATTCTTTCACTGTCACCCACCTGGTACTGTCCCACCCCTCTCCCCTCTTCTCTGGATTGACATTTCGGGTCTTGGGGCCTGTGCCGTTACATCATGTGTGTGCTACCATTACCTTAGCCCAACATACGTCCTATTGTGTACGGAGCTGTCTGACGAATGGTTTTCTAAGCAGCTCACAGGTCCCTGCATGTTCTTGTTACGGTTGCAGATCTCCCTGCAACACACGTTATACCTTCTGCACCACGGGCTGCTGGACGACGCCAACAGGAATCTGAGCCAGGCGGAGACGTGGAGATACGGCGAGAAGTCCTCGTCCCAGGAGGCGCTGATCAACCTCGTCCAGGCCTACAAAGGGCTTTTGCAGTATTACACCTGGTCTAAGAAGAAGAAGGAATTGTCCGAGCTTGGTGAGTGGAAACAAGGGAACTGTTTCTTTAGGCCAGTGGTCGGCAAACTCATCAGTCCACAGAGCCAAGTATCAACAGGACAATGATTGAAATCTCTCTGGAGAGCCAAATTTTTTAAACGTAAACTTCTTCTAACGCCACTTCTTCAACATAGACTCGCCCAGGCCGTGGTGTTTTGTGGAAGAGCCACACTCAAGGGGCCAAAGAGCCGCATGTGGCTCGCGAGCCGCCGCGGTTTGCTGACCACTGCTGTAGGCGGTAAGACTGGATCAGAAGGACACAGGGATCTTAAGAAGTAAATCCAATCCCCGGCCCCCCAGCCGAGCTTTATTCAGATGTTACGGAGAACAGATGTCTGTGGATGTAAAGTTCTCCATCATTTTTTATATTCCGATATATCAAAAAACCCTTTCAGACAAAACTTAGATGATTCATAAAATTAAGTTATGATCATTTTAGATTCTTTGCTGCTTTTAAATAGGATTTCCAAGAAAGGTGACCATTTTCTTCAGCAGGCATTATCGCACATCATAAATGTTCCTTCTTGTGGGTTTGGAATGGGGGTTAGTGTGTTTTATAATGCTGTTTCTCAGAATATTATGTTTAAAGAGTAGAGCAAGATAATGCTGTTTTATCCCTGCACAAAGGTTATAACAGATCTTTTTTCCTATTTCAGAGAGAGGAAGGGAAAGGGAGAGAGAGACACACACACATCAATGATGAGAGAGAATCATTGATTGGCTGCCTCCTGCATGTCCCCTATGGGGGAGAATCGAGCCCACACCCTTGACCGGAATCGAACCTGGGACCCTTTAGTCCGCAGGCCAACGCTCTATCCACTGAGCCACACCGGTCAGGGCTGGCCCAGTCAGATCTTTCGATGTCCTGTGTCTGTCTTCTGTTTCTTCAGTTAACCTGGCTATAATGCCTGCTGCGATATTTTTTATTTATTTATTTATTTTTAAACGGGCTTGTTAATGCTGATTAGGTAAGTTTTCAATTCAATATTTACTTTCTCACACGTGATCAGGCAGAACTGAAGCAAATATTTGACGACAGAAGCAGTTGGAACCTGGCACTGATGCCCTCTTCCCCGCGGACAGGTGATCCAGGCCCTTCCTGTGGCGGCCCTTTGTTCCCTAGCAACAGGAGGTGGAGATGGCATTATACGTGGAGCTCTTTTTAAAAAAAAAATATATATATTTTATTGAGTTTTTACAGAGAGGAAGGGAGAGGGATAGAGAGTTAGAAACATCGATGAGAGAAATTCATCGATCAGCTGCCTCTTGCACACCCTCTACTGGGGATGTGCCTGAAACCAAGGTACATGCCCTTGACCGGAATTGAACCCGGGACCCTTCAGTCCGCAGGCCGATGCTCTATCCACTGAGCCACACTGGTTTCAGCTCAGTCTTATCCTTTAAATATTTGTCTTCATCAGCAAAGCCACCAGGGCCCGAGCTTTTCTGATTTGTGGTCAGTTCTGAGTGATTCTTAATGAGTCTCTGGTCTTTGATTAGATGAGGATGACTATGCTTACAGCACAGCCTCTCAGAACATGTTCAGCCACAGCTGGAAAACGTCCATCAACTTCTCTGCTCTGATTCAGACGCCCGGGGTCTGGGACCCTTTCGTGAAGAGTTATGTAGAGGTACGTAACTGTTTTATCCCATAAAATTCCCATAAAATTTTATTAGTTTCATTTTTTAAAAAAATTAAATATATTTTTATTGATTTCAGGGAGGAAAGGGAGAAGGGAGAGAGAGATAGGAACATCAGTGATGAGAGAGAATCATTGATTGGCTGCCTCCTGCACGTCCCCTACTGGGGACTGAGCTTGCAACCTGGACATGTGCCCCTGGCTGGAATCGAACCCGGGACCCTTACAGAATTTAGCTCAGATATTATGTGTGTGTGTGTTTTTTTTTTAATATAGATGCTGGAATTCTATGGGGATCAAGATGGGGCCCGAGAGGTCCTCTCTAACTATGCCTACGACGAAAAGTTCCCGTCTAATCCCAACGCACACGTCTACTTGTACAACTTTCTAAAGAGAGAGAAGGCGCCACGAGAGAAACTGATTAGTGTGCTTAAGGTACAGACTTTCTTTTTTTTAAATCTTTATTGTTCAGATTATTACAATTGTTCCTCTTTTTTCCCCCCATAGCGCCCCTCCACCTGGTTCCCACCCCACCCTCTGCCCTTACCTTCCCACACTGTCTTCATTCATGGGTGTACGATTTTTGTCCAGTCTCTTCCCGCACCCCCCACCCCCCTTTCCCCCTGGGAATTGTCAGTCCACTCCCTTTCTAGGCCCCTGATTCTATTATATTCACCAGTTTATTCTGTCCCTCAGATTTTTTATAAGGTATAGATTTATTTTTTTTTTTTAAAGATTTTTAATTGGGTACTAGAAAGAGAGGAAGGGAAAGAGATAGAGAGATAGAAACATCATTCTGCACGCCCTCTCCTGGGGATTGAGCCTGCATTATGGGCCTGTGCCCTGACTGGGAATCGAACCGGGAACCTCATGGTTCATGGGTTGACATTCAACCGCTAGGCCTGTGTGAAATAGATTTTTTCCTTTATTTTTTTTTTTTCTTCTCAGTTTTGACATCTGAAAAGAAATTAAATTATTAAGTGTGATAAACAGTATAAAAATGTATGAGAAAATAAAAGGCCTCCATCTGTTTTCCCCTACACTTCTGATTAACTTGTTATTATCAAATAAATTTTTAAACAATAGCTTTACAGAGAATCCTTTCTGTTCCTGAAATGAAACTGGATAAAAGCTAAGTATCTTTTAAATCCATGATTCATTCTCTGAAGGGCTATTTGAAAGTAAGCTGAAATTTGAGAAATGCCTTTTGCATGTGCAAATATCACAAGATTATGCTTTCTTCCAGATTTTGTATCAGATTGTACCATCTCATAAGCTGATGCTAGAATTCCACAGGTTACTGAGGAAATCAGGTGAGTCGTGTGTGTGTGTGTGTGTGTGTGTGTGTGTATTAAATCTCTGTGGGTAGACGAGAGGGTCAGCAGCAAGGTCCCTGGGCCAAACCCATTGCTCCCCCGTTCGCAGTTCTGGAGCCCAGACACTCCCATTCCCTGATGTGGTACATGCATCCATCCCCCCCATTCCCACACTCACACACACATGTCTTAACTTCTTATGGTTCACTGTTCACCAGAGGTCATACCGATCACACACATTTTGTCTGTCTGTTGTGTGTATTATTTACTGTATGCTTACAATAAATAATGCGCATATTTTAATAACGCCTGAGTTAGACATGATGGATGCCCCTAACTCAGGCATAGAGTTGTATAGCTCCGTGGTCGGCAAACCGCGGCTCCCGAGCCACCTGCGGCTCTTTGGCCCCTTGAGTGTGGCTCTTCCACAAAACACCACGGCCTAGGCGAGTCTGTTTTGAAGAAGTGGCGTAAGAAGAAGTTTAACTTTTAAAAATGTGGCTCTCCAAAAAGATTTCAATCGTCGTGCTGCTGATATTTGGCTCTGTGGACTCATGAGTTTGCCGACCACTAGTATAGCCCATTCAGAGATCAGAATCCGCATTCCGACTTCAGTAGCATGGACTGAATTATTGCATTTCTCAGCTTCTTCACAGGAGAGTATGAGTACAATGAATTGTTTTAAATTTTTGGCCAAATCAGAGGCTTACGGTCCAGTAATGCTTTATCAGCTGGGGAAGTGATTGTCTTGGCTCTGTGTGCCTCAGTTTCCCCTGTGACCTAACTGCTGTGACCATTGCAGACCAAGAAGAGCACCGTAGACTGGGGCTGGAGGTGCTGTTCGGTGTCTTGGATTTTGCTGGATGCACCAAAAACCTTCCTGCTTGGCACTGTTTGGCAAAATATCTCCGACAGATCTTAATGCGGTAAGAGACGCGTGGTATTTATTACGGGGTCAGCATACATCATAATATTTCCCAGTATTAGAGCTGATAATATGTCACTTTTTAAGCAAATAAAGTTTTTGCTTATGTTTTTGGGTTTTATTTAAAAAAAAAAAATATTTGTTATTGCTTTTAGAGGGAAAGGAAGAGAGAGGAAGCCCTATCTGAACCCCTGCTGACCATAAGATTCTTAAAGGCAAAGACCTGTCCTATTCAGTTTTTAAAAAAATATATATATATTATTGATTTTTTTACAGAGAAGAAGGAAGAGGGATAGAAAGTTAGAAACATCGATGAGAGAGAATCATTAATCAGCTGCCTCTTGCACACCCCCCACTGGGGATGTGCCCGCAACCAAGGTCCATGCCCCTGACCGGAATCGAACCTGGGACTCTTCAGTCTGCAGGCCCACGCTCTCTCCACTGAGCCAAACCAGTTTCGGCATCCTATTCAGTTTTTGAACCGGTAGGAATTCTGCCACAGGACACAAATAGGTCCTAAATGTGTATTTGCTCAATTAAATTATTCGTGAACTCTCAGCCTTGTCCGTTTCAACTGTCAGACCTATAGAATAATATCTGGATTTGGATAGTAATTCTTTGTAGTATGTAATCTCAAATGAAGTTTTAAATGAATTCTTAAATAGTAATAATAGCTAACATTTATGAAACATTTGCCAGGAGCTTGAATGAGGTCGCTGTATTGTGGGACCAGTTTCATCCTAACAATGCTGTGCGCTGGTGCCATTCATATTCCAAGGAAGTGGAAGCTCAGAGAGGTTAAACACCCTGGCCAGGGTCACATCGGTAGCGAATGGAAGATCTGAGATTTGAATCGGAATTTTGACTTCAGAGTCTATGGTATTAACCACACTGAGCCACACTGGGCTGGCTGTTTAGTTAAACGGAAACTAGGCGGAAACCGGTGTGGCTCAGTGGATAGAGCGTTGGCCTACGGACTGAAAGGTCCCGGGTTCGATTCCGGTCAAGGGCACGTACGTTGGTTGCGGGCACATCCCCAGTAGGGGTGTGCAAGAGGCAGCTGATCGATGATTCTCTCTCATCAATATTTCTAACTCTCTATCCCTCTCTCTTCCTCTGTCTGTAAAAAAAAAAATCAATAAAATATATTAAAAAAAAAAATAAATGGAAACTAGGACATAGAGATCCACGAGATCCAGAACGGATGTGGTTTCATGCAAGTGCCCTGCCCCTGCCAAACCCAGACGCTGGTCTGTAAACGTCCTCCCCTCCTCCTAGTTCATCGACTCTGCTTCCGTTCCCATTCTGACAGCCCAGATCCGTCTCCTTTTTCTCTTCCAGAAGCCATCCTGCCTGGGTTCAGGAGGAGTGGGATTCCAGGAAAAGCTGGTGGCCAGGCTTTCACTTCAGCTCCTTCTGGGCAAAAAGCGACTGGAAAGAGGATAGAGCTTTGGCTTACGAGAAAGCGTTCGTAGCCGGGATATTGTTAGGAAAAGGTACGTGTCCTCTTTTTTATCTCAAAGTCTCTTGTAGCCGATTTTGAAATTCGAGTGTGACCATTCTTTAATCTGACAGCTCGCCGCCTCCTGCGGTACCTTAGGTTGTTTCTGTGTCTAGGCTGTTGTGAATAACGCTACAGTGAAAGAGGGATACAGATATCTTATATGACACTTGATCTTACCCAGAAGGCCGAGAAGTGATGGGATACATGTATCTTTATGGTGGTGTTTTAAAAAAAACACTGTGGGGTCTGTAGGTAGAGGCAGTTTCCTGAGGCTTTGAGTATATGCCTGATCTAATTAGTCAGAATCAGCCTTGAACACTGTCCTGCTCTGGAGATTGAGAGGTGTAGAGGATCTATCTAATACATAATCACAAATCTAAACAGAAAGCCGAAATGAGGAGACAAAGAAACAACCCCCAAATAAAACATAAATTTGAGGGGAAAAAAAACAAAACAAAACAAAAACACTGTGGGGAGATACCCAGCAGAGGAATTGCTGGGTCACATGATAGCTTTATTCTTAATGTTTTGAGGAGCCTCCATTCTGTTTTCCCTGGAGGCTGCATGAAGTTACAATCCTACCATTAGGGTTCCCTTTTCTCTGCATCCTCTCCAACGCTTGTTACTTCTCATCTTATCTTTTTTAAAAATATATATATATTTTATTGCCCTAGCTGGTTTGGCTCAAGGGATGGAGCATCGGACTGCGGACTGACGGGTCCCAGGTTCGATTCTAGTCAGGGGCCCATGCCGGGCTAGATCCCCAGTTGGGGGCATGCAAGCTGATCAATGATTCTCTCTCATTATTGATGTTTCTATCTCTTCCTCCCTCTCCTTCTCTGACATCAATAAAAATATAGTAAAAAAAAAAAAAAGAAAAAGAAAAAAATATATATATACACACATATATAATATTTATTTTTATAGAGAGGAAGGGAGAGGGATAGAGAGTTGGAAGCATTGATGAGAGAGAAACATCAACCAGCTGCCTCCTGTACACGCTGTACTGGGAATGTGCCTGCAACCAAGGTACATGCCCTTGACCGGAATCGAACCTGGGAAGTAAGGGATGTGTGCAGGAGGCAACCGATCAATGATTCTCATTGATGTTTCTATCTCTCTCTCCCTCTCCCTCTATGAAATCAATAAAAACATATATATTTCAAAGACAACAACAAAAAAGAGAAGAATCTAGGATAATTTGCTTTTGGAGCAGGTTCTTGTAATATATGAATGCCTTTCACTTAAATAGGAGTGTGGGAGGCAGCTTAGAAAACCAGCTGAAGTTGACGCTTTATGTTGATGGATCAGAAACATCTTCGTATGTAGCAAGCAGTGCATTTCATTGGTGATGGCTCTGAAAGTGTGTGCTTAGACATGTTGGTATAGACAGTAAAACCCATTCTGTTTCCATAATCATTATTAATATGTCAGGAATGAAGCAAAGCTAAACATGTAGAAATATATTTGAAGAATTCGATACGTATTAAAACTTTGTTTTATTTATTTTTTTTTTTTTTAGGTTGTAGATATTTTCGGTATATTTCAAAACAAGATCATCAAGTCTTAAGGAAGAAATTTAAGCGGATGAAGAAGTTAGTGAAAAAACACAGTATTGTAAATCCCTGACACTGAATCTTAGTTATTTTAGCTTAGTAGCTACAGTGTAGTAGCTTAATGGATAATCATTGAATGTATTTATTTATTTGGTGTTCTATATGGTTATAAAAAAAGTTATTTTTATATATTTTTATACTTTCTCTTACTAGTAGTTATAGCCAGAGAAACAGTCTCACTACCTTTGTTCTTGGTAAATAAATACTTTTTCCTTTTTGTACTGTTAAATATATTTATTAAGGAATGACCTTCAAATAAAACATGTATTTATTTAATCAGAGAATACACCTCTACAGCAGTTATTATTTGCAGATAAGTTGCCTGACTTTGTGCAATAAGTCATAGCTTATAATAAGTGGAATTGTTAAATGAATTTCTTATTTCAGACTCTAAATGATCCATGTTCGGTTTACTATCATGACAAATATTTTGGTGATGAGTTCTGTTGAGAAACTTTGTAAACCAAGCAAGACCTATTAAAGGACTCTTCCTCCTTCTCCTTTGGTGTTAAGACAGGACAGTGTGAGGCTGAACGACCTGATTCCAGGAGAGGAATTTGGGTCAGAGCAGGTGGAAGGGGCTGGCTGGTTTCAGCTGGCGTTGGCTTCGCCTCAGAGGGCTCTGGGCTTGTCTGCCTTTGTTTCTGTGTCTGGCTCAGCTGAGCCATGCTCTGGAGCTCCCAAGTCCCTTTCTCTGGGGAACGAAGTACAGCATGGGCAGCTGGACAGGGGAGGAGACAGCCAGTGAAATAGGGTCCCAGGCTCACACAGTAGGCCCATGGGGAATGAGATAGTGTCCCACACAGTAGGACTGATGGGGGGTGCGCAGGAGGGAGCTGGTTGATGTTTCTCATCAATGTTTTCAACTCTCTCACCCTTTCTCTCTGTAAAAATCAATAAAATATATAAATTAAAAAAAATAAATAAGCCAAAACCGGTTTGGCTCAGTGGATAGAGCGTCGGCCTGCGGACTGAAAGGTCCCGGGTTCCATTTGGGTCAAGGGCATGTACCTTGGTGGCGGGCGCATCCCCGGTGGGGGGTGTGCAAGAGGCAGCTGGTCAATGTTTCTCTCTCATCGACGTTTCTAGCTCTCTATCTCCCTTCCTCTCTGTAAAAAATCAATAAAATATATTTTAAAAAATACTATTGGTTTAAAAAAAAAAAGAGAGAGAGAGACTCACACCATCTATACCCCAGCTCTAGGAGGAGGTCTGGAGGCCTGTGCTGACGGGTTTCCAAGGAAAGGTGCCCCCTACGATGGTCACCCCATTTGCAGGTTCCCAGTAAGTAGTCCTGGTCCTGGGGCAATTCAGGATCTGAGATGGCTTTGCACACAGGCATTGGGTACCAGCACCAGCCACGTGCGGACCCTTGGGTGAGAACGGGAGTGTTTTTCCTGCCTGGGTGGGACTCCTTTCCTCAGGGCCCTGGGCACACTTCCCCTCACACCCCCTCACCCCAGCACACGAAGGCAAAACAACCCACAAATGTGCGTGTCTCTGCAGAGCTGAAAGCTTGCAGGCCAAGACGAAGAGGTTAACTGCCAGGCGTCCGACACGGAAACCATCCCACACGCCTCGGTATTTTGAATTTAATTTAAAAAACCCGCTGATTAAGCCGAAACCGGTTTGGCTCAATTAGATTCAGTGTCGGCCTGCGGACTGAAAGGTTCGGGTTCGATTCCCATCAAGGGCATGTACCTCGGTGGCGGGCACATCCCCAGTGGGGGGTGTGCAGGAGGCAGCTGATCGATGATGCTCTCTCATCGATGTTTCTGACTCTCTGTCCCTCTCTCTTCCTCTCTGTAAATCAATAAAAATCAATAAATACATTAAAAAAGGAAAGAAAAAGAAAAAAGAAAAGACTCTGGAATTCAGCGGGGAACGGAGGAAGGAGGATGGCTGCAGGCACCGGCTCCCCGAGCGGGCGTGGGCTGCTGCTTGTGTTGGGGAAGGTCCGGGGGCTGCTTGCTTTGGGGGATCTCGCCGGGTCCACGCAGGCTGGGCTGCGAGGCCGGGTGCCACGTGGCGCGGCGGGTCCGGGGTCCGGGAAAGGCGAGCGGGAGCCGGCGCCACAGCGCCACCTGCCGGCCGCGCGCGCACACTGCAGGCGCCGCGCCTCCTGCCCCGCCCGCCCCGCAGCCCGCGCGCCGGACGCCCCTCCGCTCCCCGCGGTCCCCCCGGCGCTGCGAGCAGAGCCAGCCGGAGCCTCGCGCCCCGATTCCCAGCGCCCGGGCCCGCCCGCAGGTGCCGGGGCGCTACGGTCACCGAGGATGGCTTTTCTGTTTCTTTTTTTTCCTTTTCTCCCCCCTTTTCATTGCGGCCCAGCATTTCCTCTCCCGCGTTGCATCCCAAGCGCAGCGAGGATGCCCGTATCCTTTGCATTTCGGGAGGAGAGACCCCGCTTTGCACCCATCGTGCCGGAGAGCCTTGGCAGAGGTGACTTTCCCACTTTGGGAGTTTCTGTTCTGGATGCATGCGAGATCATGGGAAAGGGGAAAAAAAAAATAAGAAAGAAAGGAAAAAAAAAAAAAAAGGTAGAAAAAGGCCCCAGTGAGGATCGAACTCACGACCCCTGGTTTACAAGACCAGTGCTCTAACCACTGAGCTACGGAGCCCCCTTGTTACCTGGGAGTCAGCAATGCAAGGACATTGGAAGCAGCCTGGCTTCAGCTGGCGGGCTTGGGAGACTGACCCCCAATCTCAGTTATGATGGCTGTAAAGACTGTGAAATGCCAGAGGGAAAAAATGCCTATCAAACCACGCCACGCCACAGGTGGGAAAACAAAACAAACCCGAATCCCTAAGGTTAGGATCACAGAACACGGACTCCTACCTGCGGTAAGTGATGCAAACAGACAGAGGCGGGAAGGGAAGAAGCAGAAGTGAAATGGGGTTACTGTTAGGTCGGGGTACAGCTCTGCTGTGGCTGGGACAGCTTGTCTCAAGTTTAATACTCACAGGGGCCTGGCGTTGGTTCTCAGGAATAAGTTATTGATTAGGGATGAGTTTATATATTTTATTTTTTATGGAGAGGAGGGAAGAGGGATAGAGAGTTAGAAACACCATAGAGAGAGAATCATTGATCAGCTGCCTCTTGCACACCCCCCACTGGGGATATGTGCCTGCAACCAAGGTCCATGCCCTTGACCCGAATCGAACCTGGGACCTTTCAGTCCGCAGGCCGACGCTCTAACCGGTGAGGGCGGCATGAGTTATTTTTTTATTACTGGTTGAGTCTAAAAGTATTGTGTGCAGCTGGCTGGAGGTGTGCAATCCCTGGCCTCTGGGTTGGCGTTCAGGAGGGAGACAGAACACCCCAGGGCCATGGTTTTGGGGCCCCAGTGCTGCGATTCCAGTCTTCCTGGATTGGTGGAGGTTTGTTGTGTGACCTAATACACGGTCCATCCTGGAGAGCATCGGAAGCCACTGTTTGCTTTCTGGTTTTGGGGGATTCGGTTCAGAGGAAGTTGATCTCCTCTTCGGTGACGTCTTGGGATCCCAGGCTGGGCACAGGCACCGGGGATAAGACATCTCGGCCTCCTCCTCTGTAAAACCTGAGTGATGATGAGGATGAGGAGGTGGAGGATGCTGATGACCACAATCACGCCGTCATCACCTGTGGGTACTCGGGAAGCATCCGTGAAACCCCGTGTGTCAATACTTCCCACAGGGCCTGGCGTCGGGGATAGCCTTGGTATGAGTTTATGATTATTTTTAAAAATATATTTTACTGCTGAAACCGGTGTGGCTCAGTGGATAGAGCGTCGGCCTGCGGACTGAGGGGTCCCAGGTTCGATTCCGGTCAAGGGCATGGACCTCGGTTGCGGGCACATCCCCGGTGGGAGGTGTGCAGGAGGCAGCTGATCGATGTTTCTCTCTCATCGATGTTTTTGACTCTCTATCCCTCTCCCTTCCTCTCTGTAAAAAAATCAATAAAATATATTTTAATAAAAGGAAAAAAGAGAAGAGAAAAGAAGGAAAAAGAAAAAGAAGAGAAAAGAAAAGAAGAGACAAGAAAAAAAACCTCTCCCCTGGAGCACACCGCTTTGTCAAGGTGACCACGGTGCCTAATTTCTTTGGGCTGCAGTTGAGCGAGTGGCCACTAGGGGATGCCACATTCCCGCACGCGAGGAGGCTGTGCCTGGGTGGACGTGCCTGACTGTCACTCAAGAGAGAAGAACACGCATCCCGGAGAGAGAAATGAAGTCACGGGCGGGATTGAAGCGTTACCTGCCCACAGGCACCTGGCTACAGAGGCCAGGTTATACAAATACACAATCCAGCTGAAACCGGTGTGGCTCAGTGGATAGAGCATCGGCCTGCAGACTGAAGGGTCCCGGGTTTGATTCCGGTCAAAGGCATGTGCCTTGGTTGCGGGCACATTCCTAGTGGGGGGTGTGCAGGAGGCAGCTGATCTATGACTCTCATCCATGTTTCTAACTACTCTGTCTCTCTCCCTTCCTCTCTGTAAAAAAAATAAAATAATAAAAAAATAATAAAATACACAATCCAGTGAAACCACACAGCAGGCCTGGCCCGGGGGAGCGAGAGAATGAGACCCAGCTGGGCTCCGGCCCCGGCAGGCCTCGGTGATGAGTGTTGAGTAAACGGGCTGTGGTCACCTGGAGACCCTTTTATTTTTAAAAAAATATATTTTATTGATTTTTTACAAAGAGGAAGAGAGAGGGATAGAGAGTTAGAAACATCGATGAGAGAGAAACATCAGCCAGCTGCCTCTTGCACACCCCTTAATGGGGATGTGCCCCAACCAAGGTACATGCCCTTGACCGGAATGGAACCCAAGACCTTTCAGTCCGCAGGCTGACGCTCTATCCACTGAGCACACCGGTTTCAGCAGGTGGAGACCCTTTTATTTAGGAATCAGGAGCGGCCTGGCCCCACCCCTGGGCCGGATGCCGCCTTTCGGAGCCCCCATGGGTGGCCAGTGTGGAGAGGGGTCACCGTGGTTACCGGCCTCAGAGGGTCCGCAGGAGGCCATCCTGGGAGAGG